TAAATGGGGTGGGGTGCCCACCCTTCTGTAAGTAAACCCCTACCCTATGCCCTGTTAGTAAGCCCAATAAACTCGTTAAGTTTTTGACCCCTTGGCAAATCTTTTGGTCTTTGATTTCTTATTCCTATCCCCTTCCCCCTTAAATTTCATTGTATATATATTTTTATGTAACCTGCTTCAAGTTATTTCTGGAAAAATGTGTTAAAAAATTGCCTCTCTTTGGAATAATTAAAAGAAGAATTGAAAGTAAAAAGCTAAATAACATTATAACAAGGGAGTTTGCCTAGCAATGTAGATACTTTTGATAAAAATATTCTTCAAGGGGCTGGAGAGATGGCTCAGTGTTTAAGATCACTGGTTGTTCTTGCAGAAGACCTGGGTTCGAATCCCAGCACCCACATGGCAGCTAACAACTGTCCATAACTCCAGTCCCAGGGGATCTGACAGCCCCTTCTGACCCCTGCAGGCATTGCACAACATGGGTGCACTTACCTACATGCAGGCAATACTCACATACACATAAAATAAAAACAATAAATTAAAAAATTAAAAACAAAAAAAATTTCTTCAAAAGCCCTGATTTCATAGCATATTAAGTTTAAATTTTTATATTACAAGGTTTTATTTTTTAAAAAGATTTTCGTTTTAATAATGTACATATATGTATGTCTGTATGGGCATATGCATGTGAGTGCAGATGCCTCTAACAGCCAGAAGAGGGAATGGATCCCTGGGTCTGGAGTTTACAAGCAGCTGAGCTACCTGACATGGGTGCTGGGAACTGAGCTCATACTCTGCGAGGGCAGCCGATGCTCTTAACTGCTGAGTGGTCTCTCCAACTCTACATTACCAGGCTTTCTTAATAGCAGGGCATAGAAGTCTGAGACATACATGTTCATTGTTAATAGGACCTTATGAACACAGAAGCAAATTTTATGGCTTTACTACTAAAGTAACAACCATGATGTTCTAAAGATATTAATCTATAAGTTGACACCGTAGAATATTTTCAAAAAGATTTATACTCTGACTTTTTAAATCACTATCCATTTACAGAAATTTTTATACATTATTTTTCTTACCTCCTCTACCATAAAGCACATTAGACTTTATATACTAAAGCATAGAGAGTACACAGAGAGAGGTTTAGGAGAGAAACAATCTCTGCTTTATGTGTTACCTCTGACAAAGTATTTCAGTCATGCCACGTGTACATCACCTACTGATTGAAAGGTGACACTGTTAGAGATTATAAATAATTCAACAAATCTCTCTGATCAGCGTTTCAAAACAATATTTTATCTCTTCTCAGAGCCCTCTTATCTTCATAGTGTGCAGCTGCATTTGAAATCGATGGTTGCTGGCATATCTGGGGTAAGGTTACACTAGGAGTTTACCAGGCTGTCAGTCTCCAACTTCCTTCCATACTTCACCACATCATTCTGGTTATAATTAGTTGTCTGGTAAAATTAAGAACAGCCTATTTTAGCGAATGCTTATGTGAGCATTTAACAACTTTTTGCTAGAATGACAGCTTAGTGGCAAGAAGAATAAACCAGAAAGAAAGAGTCACAGGAGTAACCTTAGTTAACTAGGTAGTCCCAGCTCAACTGATGATGGTAAGACTGTGTTTCCTTCCTTTTTGTTATTAATCATCAGGCAGTATTTCTTGTCAGGAGACAAGCAGCAGTTTGATGGCATTCTTGCCTCAACCAGCATGTTTTGAACTGACCTGTCTTCATTGCTATGGCTCCCTAGAAACTTTGCTGCTGCTGAGCATTGATTCAGCTGAATGCTTTGACATTCAGCTTGTCAGTGAAAGCTATTTTAATCCTTAACTGCATCTCTCTTCCAAGTCTGCAAACTGTTGCTGCTCATACACAACATTCTACCATTTGATTATTACGAGGGGAGGAATCTGAATAGCTGCTATCACCAGCTCACACTAAGGGAAAAACCAACAGAATCGCCACGTGAGGGGCTGTGCTTAGCAACTTATAGGACTAATTTAGTCTTCCCATCTACGGAGTCTGAGTAGTGAGATCAGCCTCTCTGCTCTCCACTTGCTGTCTGTGTAGTTGCAGAGCTCTCTGTGATGCTAATCCCTTATCTAAAATAGAGCATTCGTCCTGTCTATCTTCTAGGGATAGCGTGAAGACCAAAGAAGACACTCACAGTCTTTAGACTAAGAAGTGGCAGTGCTGTTCTACAGGCATGCTAATAATTTTTACTATTATTTTAAGATGAGAAAACCCAGTTCCCCTTCACCACCCATCCTACTCGCTTCTGTCTCTGTTTCTTTGCCTAAAGTAGAAATAAGAATAAAAAAGTAAAAGCACTCCCTATTCGGGCATTTTTCTGTACATATCTGAACTTTTGCCCCACAGGAGAGAGCACCACAATTGTGGCCATATAGTAATACTTCTGCAGTGTGAATGCTTATTTTTTCCCCAGTTCTTTCTTTCCTCCACATTGCCTTTTCCCTTTCAGACAGCTATACTTATGAACGGGCAACTCTGTTGAATGTCACAGAAGTAACATTTCAGATGCTATGGGGGATTTCAGAGTAAAGGGATCATTTCTTTCAGAGTTTAAAGACAGCAATGTTGGCGGAAAGGTGGTAGAATCTCAGTTTCCTTGACCATGTTTGTGCAAGAGCAGAATAAGTGTATTTTATATATTCATGCAAAAAAACCCAAGAAACCAAAAAACCAAAAAACCCCCAACAACCCCCCCCCCCAAATCCTAGGCAGCCTCACAGAGTTCCCTGTGGCATGGCATGGAAGGGGAGCAAGAGATAGGGATCCCCTGATGCTAGTGGAGCATGAAGTAGAGCTTCCCACAGTGCACAGCATAACTAGAATGTGGAAGAAACTGCAGGGCTGTCCCACTTCCTCCCTTTCCTTCTGAGGACAAAGCTAAGCCATAGTGCTCACCCCCCTTAATTAATGGGAAAACATATGGGAGTTAGTGAATCAGGAACTGGAACTCTGCATTTCTTTCAATTAGGGCTGTACACACCAATACATAGTACTACTTGTAACATTTCTGACTTTGCTACAAATAGAAATATTATGTTCAAATCATATCACAACTACTGTGGGCCTCTCAAATGTAATTTATACTCTGAAATAATGATGATCAGTAGACCTAGACTGTTTTATTTCATATGCTAATAAAGCATACATATCACTAAAATAAAGTCATTTTAAAAGCTTGATTACCATATCTCAATAAAACTATTTTCTTTTAGAATACCGTATGGTCGTTATGCCTTCAGAAAAACTTCTCTTTCCTCCTCAGGGTCTCACTGTGTAGCCATGGCTACCCTGGAACTCACAATGATTCACCTGCCTCTGCCTCCAGAGCCTTCTGCATGCTAGGCAAGTGTGTATTTACAACTGCCCAGCAAGGGTTTAAATTTGATGACATTTCTCTGAAATTATTTAGTTTTGCTTAATTTCACCTTCGTTTTAAAAATTCTTTTGCTGCTTTATTTTAACCTTGGATCAGATGAATCAGGTTAAAGTTTTAAAACTGCCAGTAGCTCACTGACCTTCAAGACTTATGGCATAATTGTTTGTCAGAAGAAATTTGGTATTATTACAACTGATAAGATATTGTAAGATAATAGTTTTTAATAGCAACTTGTCAACAGCTCCTTAAAATATTTAATTCATTTATTTTTGTGTATGTATATGTGGGTGCATGTGTGGCAGTCAGAAACTTGTAGGAGTCAGTTCTCGCTTTCCACCATACAAATCTTGGGGACTGAACTCAGGTCTGTCAGGCTTGAAGGCAAGCGCCCTAACCTGCTGAGCCTTCTTGCCAGCCCAGCTTTTTATTTTTAAAACATGTTTGGCTGGCCTCAAAGTCAAGAGCCTCCTGCATCCCAAGAACTGGGATTACAGACATCTATTGCTATGCCTGGCATTAGTGGCTTCTTAGAATGTTTTAGGAAGTATAATAATTACTTTTCCATGCTAATTTTTACAAATTCAAGAGTGGAAATAATAGCATAAGGAACTCCTAAGTACCTATTTCTCACCTTCAATGGTAATTATTACATGTTGCCATTTTCACTTTATCTTTTAATTATATATATATTTTTGCATTGCTTAAGATCAAACCCAGGGCTTTCCAAAGGTTAGGCAAGCACTGTACCATTAAACCAAGTTCTAGCCCCCATTTCTATCCCCTATCCCTACCCTTTTTAAGCTATTCTTATTTCATACCACCAACTTTTTTTCTTTATTTTCACTGGAGTATTTTAAAACAAATTCTAGGTCTTATGTTAATTCAACAATAAATACTTCAGTATTTGTAGCTAAAAGATATTTTGCAGCGTAATATACTACTACAGCTAACAAACTTATTAACAAGTTCTTAACGGAATGTAGTCCATATTCAAATTTTGCCTGGTTGTCTTAAAAGTATCTTATACTTGGTTTGTTTAATTAAGAGCAAAACAGTGTTCCTAATAGCTGAGTTTGGTAGATAATATCTTTAAGGTTTGTCTTCATAGAAAATCCCCTTCTTTTTTATTGGTGGTAATGAGTACTGAATCCAGGGCTCTGTGCAAGCACTCTACCAATCCTTAGTCTAACCCCCCCCCCCAAATGCTTTTTATTTGAAGAAGCAAGGCTACTGATGACCCTTGGCTGAAATTCTGAAAAGATGGAATTTCTTTCTTCAAATAAAAAAAAAGGTTACCCTGAAATACAACTCACACCAAAGTAGCTGGATAAATGTGTCTTTTTCTGAATTTAATCTACTTTCAGCATTTGAGTACTTGTGCATTACTAATTTCCAGCAGTGAGCCTGAGTCTCCCCACACCCACAAGCCACTGGTGCACTGGTCCCCAAAGTCTCCAGGTTGCTCCCACTGAAACCTAGCAAGAATAGAGCAGGTGTGATAGAATGAATTTAGTAGGTCAGATATGAAGCAAAGATTCAAGGTAGGGTGGGACGCCAGGGAAAGGACATACCTCAAGCAGGCTCTAAGAGGTAGAATCCAGGTCCTCTGAACTATCTTGGGCATCCGTGCTGTCCCTGCTGTCCCCGCCACTACCTTCTCCAGAGGGGTGCTCTGGCAGGGAGGCCTCTTCAGAACCAGGAAGGGTGCTGTCCGGGGTCTCCTGGCTCTCCCTGGAGCCCAGAACCACATACCTGCCCTTCTTCAGCATCAGCTGTCACAGTCTCAGCTCCTCTGCCATCTGGGTGAGATCCCGCTTCATAGCATAAGCGTCCTCCCCATCTGCATAGTATTTGGGTTCCACCTCACTAACCTGGAAGTTGAGGGTGTTGGAATAAAGGTGCAAGGCTGCCCGATTGCTCTTCTGGACGTTCAGGCACACTGAAGTCCTCGATCATGGCCCGTGAGGCCTGGTCCATCAGCTTCTGGGCCAGGCCTAGACGGCGGTGTGAGCGCTTCACGGCCAGCGAGGTGATATGTCCATGCAGGACATCATCAGGATCCTCCTCCATTTTGGCCAGGACATAGCCCACAATCTTGCCGTCCTCGTCCTCAGCGAGGTAGGAGAGCTGGGGCCAGGACAGGCCGTGGTAGAAGTAGTACTTCATCTGGTAGTTCTCAGACAGGCAGAGGAAGTTGCAGTGCTGCATGTTCATCAGGTCAGCAGGCCGAGCATTGCAGATTTCATCTTGGCAGCTGGCTGGCCCACTTAGGCTGTGGCAGGAAGGGAAGGCAGAATGACCCAGAGGTGGAAGGGGCGGGTCTAAGACGCTTTTCCGCTTCTAGAGGGTCCCAGTCCTCCATTTTACGGTCTTACGCCCCCGCCCCTGTGTGCACATGCGGAGGGAGTGTGTGGCCAGAGCTCACAAGAACTCCTGGGTTTAAATACTGTTTGGGTGTGTTTGTTTTCACTTTAACTTTTAGAAATGTTTTCTTTTACGTGTGTGTGTGTGTGTGTGTGTGTGTGTGTGTGTGTGTGTGTGTGTACATGCCATGGTGGTTGTATGGAAATTGGAGGACAACTTGTGTCAGTTTTCTCCTTTTACCATGTGGATCCTGGGGATGAACTGAACGAAGTCCTGAAGCTTGGCGAATGCCTTTACCCGCTGAGCCATCTCTCCAGCCCCAATTTTAGCTCTTTTAATTTGAATGTATCTGAACAACTCTGTACAACTAGAACTTAGATCAAGAACCAGAATGCTGCCGGCATCCCAGGGAGCCTGCCCTGCTGTATGTATCCCCACCCCAAGAGTCCCAAGAATAACCTTGACTTCTAACAGATTTTATATAAATAGAATCATACTGTACATATTCATTATGTCTCTTATGTTCCGCTAATTGTGCAGTTCAGCCATCCTGTGTACAACTGATGCTTCTCTATACTTTTTCTTGTTTGATATTCGCTGCCTAGCTATATCACAATTCATTCCTTCATTCTGCCGTTTATGGCTATTTGTGATATCTCCAGATAAGGAATAATATGACTAACATGGCTGAATATATTGTTGAATATATCTGATTGATAAATACATATACCGACTTGGATCAGAGAATATAATGATGGCCAAATTTTATAAATGTTGCAAAGCAATTTTAAAATGATTACTCCACCTTCTCCTCAACATTATTTCTCCAGCTTTTTCATTTTATTCATTCTTGTGTAGGGGGGAGGTATTGCACTGCAATTTATTTCACTTTTCTCTGGTGACAAGTGAAACTGAGCACCTAGCTATTTTCTGTCTTTTAAGAAGTGGCTGCTCAAGGCTTTGCTCATTTTTCTATTGGGGGACGTCTTAAAGTCATTGTTTTCAAGAAGTGAATATTCAGGATTGAATCCTTTGCTAGGCACAGATGTGAGGATACTTAAAATGATCACCTTTTCTATTGGTTGATTGTTTTTCCTCTTCTAATGCTGGTAACCCACCTCTCCTCCAACAACTGCAAAATGAACCTAGAGCCTCCTGCCTACCAGAATAGTGCTGTATTTCCAGCCCTCCTAATGGAAACTTTTAAGATTTACTTATTTTTATGTATATGTGTGTGTACTTGAGAGTATTTATGTGCAACATGCATGTGCAGGTGCCCTTGGGGGTCAGAAGAGCGTATAGCATCCCCTGGAATTGGAGTTACAGGCAACTACAAGCCACCCCATATGTGTGCTGGGTACCGAACCTGGGTCCCCTGCAAGAGCAGTTAAGTGCTCTTAACTGCTGAGCTATCTCCCCAGCACCCTAACGGTAACTTTTACAGTAAACAAGAATTATTTGGATTTTAAGTTTTATGAGTAGTTTTGTGTACTGTTTAGGAATTCTTTGCCTACTTTATAGTCAAAGTTTTATGTTTTCTACTTAAAGAAAATATTTTATGGGGCTGGAGAGATGGCTCAGCGGTTAAGAGCACTGACTGCTCTTGCAGAGGACCGGAGTTCGATTCCCAGCACCCACATGGCAGCTATGAACTGTCCTTAACTCCAGATCCAGGGGAATCCAAAGCCCTCTTCTGACCTCTGCAGCATTGCATGACACAGGTGCACTCACATACATGCAGGTGATATACACATAATATAAAAATAATAAAAATTTAAAAAATCTTTACTTATTTTTTAAATGTGTACGAGTGTATTGCCTGTATGTAGCTAGGTGCATCTGTGTCATGCAATACCCTAGAAAATCAGAAGAGGACATCAGATCCCCTGGAACTGGAATTATGGATGGGTGTTAGCTGTCATGTGGGTGCTGAGACTCAAACCCGGGTCCTCTGCAAGAGCAGCTGGTGTTCTTAACCACTGAACCACGTCTCCAATCCCTTATGTTTTCTTCTGAAACCCTTATTGTTATTGTTTTAAGTTTTATATTTCTGTTTGCTTCCCTTTGAAATTTATTTTTGGGAATGGTGTGAGATAACAGTTTGGCTAATTTTTTCTCTATGTGGATATTATAATTCATTTAACACTTTTAAGCAGATCATCATCTTCTGTGCACTACACTACAGTGTTACCTTTGTTGTAAACACTAAGTTCCATTGCTAGGAACATTAAAGAAATATGCTATCTTTTAATAAAGCAAATTGTTGGGGGGTGCTTCTTTAATAGTGCAAGAGAATCACATTTTATTAACATTGCTTACACATAAGCTGACTGTAAACCCTAGAATTATTTATATGTATTTTATAATCTTTTTTTTTTTTTTGTCTTTTTGAGACAGGGTCTCCCTGTAGCCCCAGCTGTCCTGGAACTCACTATGTAGATCAGGCTGGCCTTGAACTCACAAAGATCTGGCTGCCTCTGCCTCCCAAGTGCTGGGATTAAAGGTGTGTGCCACCACACCCAGCTATAATCTTTCTTTTTAGTTTCCTAGAAGACCTAGGAACTTAAACATAAAAATTTATCCAGGTATGATTATATCATTACCCTGCTCCTGGTTACCTTCATTCATGTAGAATATGTGTTATCATTCTTACCAGTGAGGGTGCATACTCCTTTAATAGTTAGAACCATGTGATTTATGAGATATAGCTTATTGAATAGCCACTATATTTTTGCAGATAAAATATGACAATTAGGGGCTGGAGAGATGGCTCATCAGTTAGGAGTATTTGCTGCTCTTGCAGAGAATCTGGGCTCAGTTCTCAGCATCTACATGATGGCTAACAACCATTTGTGCCTTCAGTTCTGGGGGCTCCAACACCCTCTTCTGACCTCCTTGGGTGCTATATGCTTGTGGTGTACTTATATACATATAGGCAAAAATACACACAAAATAAAAATAAGTAAATATAAAAACATGACAATAATAGTCTGACCTAGAAATGACCATGTAGCTCATGCTGGCCTTGGTCTTGTGATCCTTCTGCCCCAGCGTGTGGAGTAGCTGGTATTACAGACTTGCACCACCAGGCATAACTTTTTTCTTTTCCTTCTTGTTTTTTATCAGAAAAGGTTTAAATATGTAGCCCAGAATGACCTCAAATACATAGTAATTCCCTTGTCTCAGCCTTACAAGTGCTGGAATTATATACATATGCAACTGTGATGACTAATATTGGTTGTCAGTGTGATAGATACACTTGGGAAGTTGAAGAATTTCCTCCATCAGATTGGCCTGTGGGCATGTCTGTGCGGTATTTTCCTGATTTCTAATTTGTACAATGAATATGAATCAATATTTTTATCTAAAAAACATATAAGACCAACAAGGTGATTCAGGGGTGATTCAAGGTATTTGCCTCAAGCTTGATAATCTGAATGTGATCTTTGGGACCCACATGGTAGGAGAAACCTGACTGTTGTTAAGTTGTCCTCTGCTTTCCATGTGCATGCTGTTGCATCAATGAATGCATCCCCCCCAAATAAACAAATGAATAAACAAGTAAGTAAATAAATGTAATTAGATTTTTTAAAAGAAAACAAAAATTGCTGGGTATAGTGGCTCATGTCTATAACACCAACTTTACTTCCGAATGAGTTACAGGCCGGCCTGACAACAGCATGAAACCCTGCTTCAGAAAAATCGTTTACAAAGGCATCAGAGCCTCCTTAGTAAGCAAGTTTTTACTTGATTGATTTATATAAGGTGGGTATTCAAATCATTTTTCTGCCTTCCAGTGGAACTAAAGGTGCTGAAGTTGAACGAGAGAGCTAGCTAGTAATTAACGTTCCTTCCTGGCCTCTGCTTCAGTTTCTGCCTCCAGGTTCTTGCCTTGAGCTCCTGACCTGGCTTCCCTAACCAGAGGGTGAATACTTAAGGAATTTGTGTGGGCCTTGGGACCTGAAGTTTTTATTCTGGAAGAGGGCCTCACTCTGTCAGTGTAGGTACACAGTTTTTGAAAGTGAGACCTGGAGGTAGGCATAATCACACATTTTGGTGTCTTTGTAAATAGTATAGAAATTCATAAAGGAAATAAGATTTTCAGAGTCAGATCTGGTGGTGTATTTCTATAAGAAGTAGACAAGAGGATAAGAAGTTCAAGGTGATCATTTGCTACAAAGGGAGTTCAAGGCCAACCTGGGATACTTGAAATCCTGTCTCATAAATAAAGTATTTTTAGTAAGGGAGCTTCGAATAGAAATTCATCAATGTAGATGACAGGGTTTCTAGCAAACAAATAGTACCTAAATCACGTTTCCAAATTTGGGAGAACAAAGAAGGCCTTCCACTGTAACAAAAATTCTTTCATTACAGATTCATAGAATTTGAATCAATGTGAACTGGAGGTCTGTCTTTGGTTCTTAGTTTTCTTTTTGTGAGTGTTGTATGTTAGTATACTTATGTGCAGGTGCCCATACAAGCCTATGGAGACCAGAAGTAGATGGGTTTGGTTCCCAACACCCACATGGCACCTGACAACCATCTATAACTTCAGTTCCAGGGTATCTGATGTCCTCTTATGACGTCTGTGGGCATTGCACAACATGGGTGCACTTACATACATGCAGGCAATATATTCATACACATAAAATAAAATAAATAAGATACTAAAAAATAACCCATTTCTAGTTCCCTGGTTTTCACATGTACTTTAGATTAAATACATGAAACAAAAGATTTCCACGCCTTGTATTTTGATTTTCATTTAATAACCCATGCTTTCTGGGAATAACATTGCCCATCAGTGTATGTAGGATAATTCAATTTGAACTTTTTTTTTTCAAGCTGTATTTCAAAGTTAGCTTATTAACTAGTGGGTTTTACAGAAGGCTTTTTTGTAGACCCTTAGTTTTGGTTAACTGATCCACTAACTCTTCTTCTCCTCATCTCCCCAACACTCCCCTATCCCACCAAAGCTCAGGGAACATCACAGAAGAGAGGGAAATGGAGGATAGGTATGATCATATTTCATTGTCTACCATATGAAATTCTCAAGAATAAATAAAAAAAATGTAAAAGATTTGAAGCTAGGACCCACATATCCACATTAAAAAGAAGATGCGGCCTTTGTCTTTTGGGACCTGGATGACCTCACTCAGTGTCAATTTTTTTTCAGTTCCATTCATTTACCAGAAAAATCTCATGATTTCCTTTTTCTTGTCAATTGAGTAAAACTCACAGAATGGGGAAAAATCTTTGCAAGAAATCTTTTAATTTTGCAAAATAAAAATTATTTATTTTTATTTTTT